ATAGTTAAAATATTTAAGGACCTGATCCTGAAAACTCACTCGAGAAGCTGCGTTCACTTCAGTGGAATAACTCACATGAATAAGGTTGGCAGAATTGGGCCAAAGCTATTATAGCAATAGTCTGTACCTTGAGGTTTTATTTTAAATTAGTATTCTATATTATGTCATGTTATGATGTCAAACATTCTTCTAACGTGCCACAAATTTTGCTCTATAGAGAATATCTGGGGTTCCTGTTAAATTCAATGGAAATCCTTTGTGCAGGCATTGAGAGTTCAGATCTAGATCCAAATTCGATAGCTTGGGTCCATTTTTAGTTATTGTTTATTGCTTGTATATCACCACAATATATGTAGTGCTTTACAATATAGATGAAGATTAGATTAAACTGAGAACAAACAGGAAATGGTAAGAGAACTTATGGTTATGTAGGCCCTTGGATGCTTGGTGCATGTGTCTTGGTGGTAACCAAGTGTTACTTCTGAAATAAATTAATTTAATAATAAAATATCAGAGACTATAGTAATGTAACACACCTTGAGAAGTGGGTTTGGAGAAGTGTTTTAGGAGGAGGATGCATGGGCTCAGAAACTAGGTTGCTAAACATTGTATGAGAACCTATATAGATTAGAATGACCGATAGGGATAGGAGTCTGTCTTGGTACGTGGCCTACATCACTATAGTATCTGATTAGGACACTATGGTCAGGTAGTCACTTGGGCCCAGATCCTCAAAGGTAATCAGTAGAAGTTAGGAGCCTAGATACCTTTTGAGGATCTGGGACTTGGAAGCTAGAGTGTGGCATTATTCTTGGGATATCAGTCAGAACAAAATAAGGTATGAAAGTGGATGTGGGCAAAAAATACAAAGGAGTACCTCCCCAGAGAAGCAACTTGGGCTAAGTGAAAAGGTGATCAGGGTAAGAGAAGAGAGGTCAGAGGAGGAGCAACTTTGTGAAGATCTTTTTGAAGACGAGGTGCTTGATACTGCTCTGAGAGGGAACAGTATGAATTTGTGCATATACCAGTATTTGTTATAAGGGTCAGAAACATGGTCTTGGGGCTGAGACACAGGAATGGGAGTCAGGAGACCAGAACAATATTCCTGGCTCTGCCACAGACACCCTGTGTGATCTGGATACTTAAATTCTCTGTGCGTCTGTACTTCATTTCATCTCATGGGTATTGTGAACTAAATGTCAGTAAAGCTCCCTGAGATCCTCAGATAGCCGGTGCTCTCAAAGCGCAAAATAGCGTCCTTTGTATAGCACCACAGATGTACACAGGGCTGGATGGTGAGTAACATGAATGGCAATAGTAGCCTCACTCCATGGGGGTACCCTGCTATATGGTCATTACAGCTGGAGTGCCTCATAAGGCCTCAGACTTTTTTTTAAGGAGCGGAGGGTGGGCGCTTGGCAGCTATTAACTGGGAGATTGTTCCAGCTCTAATGGGTGGCGCATGTGTGTGTGCTGTATCGAGCCATATCTATTTCACAGCTAATAGAATGGTTTCCTGTTAGTAACTGTGAAAGCAGCATTCCAGAATTAGATGTGTGTCCCTGGCGCTTTGCAGAGAGCACTAACAACGATCTCCAGGGGGAAGAGCTTAACCGCGAAACTGAGTCGTCGTGTTTTCTTTGGGCTCTGGAGTTTTTCTTTCAAAACCAGCTTTTATCAGCACGTCAAGAACACAAATTTGGAAGGAAATGAAAAGCCAAAGCAAAGCCAGCCCCCGAGAGTGACTGAGGTAACCGTGCCACAATCTCCAGTGAAAACAGGCGCTTTTTCCATGTCACATTTACCGCTGCTAGGACTGTGAGCAGGTAACTCTTTCAGACGGGCCTCTGCCATGCTCAGCACCAAGAGTGGCAAAGAAACCCTGCAATGGGCAAGTTGTCAGGTGGATGCTTTCCCCACTCGTGGGGGGTGGAGACTGAAGGTACCCACCACACATCTCTCCAGAGTGGGTGAGTGCAATGTGCTTCTAAGAGCCTGAATGCCTGTTTCAAAGCCCATTTGCTTCATTGGGTTTGGACTGGGCTGCTGCTCTATGGCAATCTGTGTTTACTAATAAACAGATTTCAGGCATCAAGGCATTGGAGACTATATGGAGACCTAGAAAAAACGAGGCTAGGACATGCATCCTGGGAGTTCCTGTGCATAAAGAAACTATAAACATAATTACCTTTGCACTCATGATGTTCTGCACTCGCAAGCATCTCCCATCCTGGGATCGCAAAGTAGGGTAAATGAGGTACAAAGAGGTTCCATGACTTGTTCAACATCTCAGAAAGTCAGTGGTAGAGCCAGGGATAGAACCCAGATCTGCTCTTTTTAACCACTAGCCTATGTGGAAAACTGAACTACAATCCTGAAATCTGAATGCCAAAGGACACCTGACCTAGCACATCAAGGAGGCCCCCAATAACCTTGAGGGAAATAATTCTGAAAGTTACAATAATGATCTTCCTTCTGGGTCACTGAGAACAAGATTGTATTTTGGGGGTGAACTTGTCACTTACATCTGGAGCATATGGGAGAAAACACTATTGATGTAAAGCTGGGTACCAAACAAAAGATGAGGAAAGGTCACTTAAATGTTCCTTTGTCAACAGAAGATGGGATCTAAAGCCCACTCTAGTCAGTAGGAGTCTGTATTGACTTCAGTTGATTGGCCCCTGAGAGATCAATGTCTTCCGGGGGGTCTTCACACAGGAAATCTGAGCTTCACAAAACAGAACAAGCTGTATCCTCTGTGGCAGACTAACAGCTTGCCAGCGCAGGATAAGATAAAGTGCTAACAACTTCTGGCAAGTGAGGATGCTGATGAGGAGGAAAGAGAGGTGAGGCTGTGTGGTGACAGGCTTTCATACCTCCGACTCTGTCACAGCTCACAGAAACATACCTCTTCCTTAGTGATTTATTAACAAGGATCTGTTATCCTGTGGCCACTAGGTGACTTCCTCACCAGACAAGATGAGTGATTTGCAAAGGATTTACGGTCTGATTCCAGGTGAGACAATTAATGGTAGTGTTTTGGTTTCTCCGGCAACTGTGGGCTTCTCCTGATAGAGCCAATGAAATGTCTCAGGGTTACTGTTCCCCAGAGAGAGACTCAGTTTTGTTTTCAGACTTTAAGGTCTTGTCTTCACTTAGAAAAAAGGTGTATGTTTACCTCGTGTTAGCTAACACATGGTAACTGAAGGGAAAACCATAGTGAAGACTAAGCAATTTGCAGCTTTGACACTAATTAGCAGGTTGAGAGAAATTCTAGGCTCCCCATAGCCTTCATCTCAACCTGCTAGCTAATATGAAACTACAGGTTGACTGGCCCAGCCAATCACTGCATTTCCCTATATCGTGAATAGGAGATTCATAGGTTCCAAGGTCATAAGGGACCATTGGATCCTCTGTCTGGGTGCAGGGCTACACTTTCTGCCGAGTGTTATGGCACTGGCTCCAGGCACTTTTACATTCTGTTATGTAAAGTCTGTATCTGTCCATATAGCCATCAAACGTGAAATACCTGACCATGTAGGAGGGCATAGACTCATAAATATTAAGGTCAGAAGGGACCATTATGATCATCTAGTCTGACGTCCTGCACAACGCAGGCCACAGAATCTCACCTACCCACTCCTGTAACAAACCTCTCACCTATGTCTGAGCGATTGAAGTCCGCAAATCGTGGTTTAAAGACTTCAAGGTGCAGAGAATCCTCCAGCAAGTGACCCGTGCTCCACGCTGCAGAGGTTTGATTGATATTAGTTTGTGATGGCTGCATTATTCCAAGAGCTAAAGCCATGACTGAATTATTCAGTGTCTTCTAATGTGAACAAAGACTGCCCACAAAAGTAAGAGTTTGACATATCAGGCTGTGAGGAAGGATTTGAGGATCTGGCCCCATGGAACTTGCTTGCAAGGTTAAATTCATGGCAGCCCTGCTGGAGTAGGGTTGCAGGATTTGGCCAATAGTAAACTTGAATGTAGAGAAATTTCATAATAGTGCATTTGAAAGTCTCAAATTGTATCCGTGCAAATTGCAATTGTGAATACAGTGGAATGAATCAGAGCAGGGAGGTAGGTGGGGAAGATTATTAATGGAGAATGTGTCCTGTGTGTGTATATAATATGTGTAGCATGCTAAAAAGCAATCATTTCACACTGGTCCTTCTTTTGCTCTGTAAATAATTCAGATACTTTTTGCCGTACTGTCAGGGACTCATTGGGCCAATGCTCTGGAACTGCTCCGTGGGAAGCCAGCCAGGACTCTGCGGGAGCATGCCGCCTCCTCTTTCTGAGCATACGGTCACCCGGGCAAGAAGCTTCCACCTTCCTAGGTCTGACCTTGGAGCATGCAGCGTCCCTTTCCAAACCGTGCGCTTCCCGCAGTGAGTCTCGCCATGCAGGGTTCCTGGGGAAGCCAGAGGGCCCTGCACCCCAACTCTGCAGTTAGCAGTGACTCTCAACCAGTGTAAACTGGAAGGTTTATTAGTCGACAACAACACAGCGTAGAACAGAGTTTGTTAGCACAGAAATCAGTGACTTTCATTCAAGTTTATCTTGGGGGACCCTGGGCCGGACTCCCCCTCTTCCAGTCCCCGCAAGCAGGCTACCCAGGTTCCAGCAACCTGACCTCTGACATGCCTGATGCTCCCGACCTCTGACGCACCTGATGCTCCTCCTCCTCGTCTTTGTCTTGCTTCCCAGGCAAAGTGTCACCTGGTCATCACCTGGTTGCATCCCTCTCCTGGATCTCAGAGTACAAAGGTCAATGCAGCTGGAGCAGCATCGCCTGCCCTCGAGGGTCTCAAAGTCACACACCCTTATCCCACCACATTGGTGCAATACACAGGGAAACTGAGGCACACAGTATTCATGCAAAACAGTAAAATTCATATAGGCTCAAGAGTAAGACAGCCATACAACATAACAAGGGAAAATCCCCGCTTCGTGTCACATACCGAAAGCACCTTGGTAATAGGGTTGTTGCTTACCATATGGCCACACAGATTTCAAATGGACTCTCACAATAGGAGTTCAAATGACAGTTGCTGTAGCACACCTTTTCCCCACACACTGGGGAGGTGGAGTCACACCATTTACACAAGTTGGTCTTCAGATTTCTTCGTGCCCCGGCAGAACATGCTGCAAACAGAAACAAAGCCTTTGAGTTATCCATTTTCTTTGTCATTCTTGTCTCGAGTCTTAGCTGGCACTTAGTTTGCCTATGGGAAAAAAAATGTGTGATTCACATAACCACAGAAGGGGAGAGGGAACCCTGCACACAAGCCCAAGCTGACTCTGCTGTTTGTAAGTGCGCTTGTTTATCATTTTCCTTTGCTGAACTCTTAGGTCAAGTGTATTAGGCCAGAGTTCAGACAGCAGTTGCAGTTACATGAGCACCAAGGAAGCAGGTCCTGCTGGAGAGTGCTTATTTCAAAGCTGAAAATTCTGAGCTACCGAAGATAGGGTAGTCCAGTGGATACTGCACTGGACTGAGAATTAGGAGACATGGGTTCTATTCCTGGCTCTGCCACTGACCCACTAGGCAGTGGGGGGAGGGACATACTTTATTGGAGGTTCATGGATTCCAATACACCCACAGAAATCAGAAATCCAAGGGTGCAAAAACACCCAGCGTGGGAACAGGCAGCTTAATTTCCTCCTTTGCACAAGAAGCGGCACCTGGCTCCATAGCCCGGGCCATGGTGGCGCTACTCCTGGCCACATTGCTGCATAATGATGTCAAAGTCTCTACAGAGGCCCAAAGGGCAAAATCTGCCAGAGGGAGTGCCATGGGCACGGAGCAGGGCACTGGGCTCATGGCAGGGAGTTTCTGAGCAGCTGGGAACAGATGCTGAGTGGAGCCACGTCCCCCATCACATCTTGGGTGGGGTGTCTCTCACTGCCTTGCGTAACTGGGACTGGCCCTGCAAAGCAGAGCAGGCCCTGCACTGAGGCTGGGCCTACCACCAGACCACACACCCACCCCCAGCACTGTCATTGTGTCATCCTCTTTGTACTTTTATTGTTTTTACACAGCGGTTACACTGGATTTAGTATAATGCACTGATTTAATTGGGATGCTACGTTCACCCCTCCTCCTGTGTGACCTTGACCGTGATCACTTCACCTCTGTTACTCCATCTGTAAAATGGAGACAAAGAAAATTCCTTTATAAAATGCTTTGAGGTCTGCAGAGGAGAAGCGCTATAGTGGAGCTAAAGATCAGGGTTGTTTTCCCTTTAATGGGTGTTGAGAGATAAGAGTGAATCACAGCCTTTCTTCCAAATGCCCCTGAACTTAGGGACAGGATGAGGAGATTGGAAATGTTGGTCTGAATCTGAAATTAGCTCGTGTCTCTGACCCTTCTAATGGGCCAGCCCAAAACCTCTCTTCTGAACAATGCTGAACTTTGGGGGAGGGGTTTCTGGATTTCACTCTGGACCCAAACTTTTCAAGGGGAGAGCCCCCCTCTCATTTAAAGCCTTTGGTTTGTTGCGTGGCACTTTCCGCAGCACAGGTTACTGTTGTGTAGAGAGTCCTTATTCTAAACACACCATGATGAAGAAATAATTTCAGCAGGCGTGCAGTAGCTGCTGTGTATATGGCATGGGTACAAAATCCTATTTATTTTTGTACCAGAGCTGAAGGAACTATTTTAGGTTAAGGAATAAATCTCAGCTAAATTTAAACTTCCTGTTGGAAAGCCGTTTGTTTTTGATTTTAAAAAGAGCCATCAAGGAAGTGTTTTAAAAAAATGGCCCAAATGTAGGCATCGAATTAAAGCAGCCTGATTTGCAAAGGCTCTGAGTATCTAAAATCCTCACTGATTTTGATGAGAGCTGTCAGCTCTCTCCACTTCACAATGAGATTTTCAAAACTACCAAAGAGATTTGGACACCCAATTCCCAGTAAAACCCCACTGTGCCTGGTTCTGCTGTGACAGTGATTGGCTTTATAGCCTTAATATTAACATCCCATTAATTTTCATGGGTAATGGGTTTCCAAATCCCCTATGTGACTCTGAAAATCTTAGCCTTTGAAAATCAGGACACTCTAATTTAGGAGCCTAACTTTAGGCACCCAGATTTGAAAACTTTGGCCCTGTGTTCACATGTTTATTGTTACAAAGGGCTAGTCTGAAACTTAAGTTTCAAAATAAAGCCCCAATCCTGCAAACTCCCACTCACCTAGCTAGGTCCTACTCACATGAGCCGTCCCACTGATCTCAAAGGTACCTCTTGCCTAAGTTGCCTAACTCCTCACAGGAGTACGGATTTTCAGGATCAGGTCTTTGAATGCCAAGTGTCAGTGAATTAAGAACTTTGTAGCAAAAACTTCAGGAACTCTTTAAAAGAAGCACCAATGCCACCAGCCCTACGGTATGTTAGCGGGGGATGCCGCAGTTGTACTCACGAGGATATTGTGCCTTATTTTGCTGTGTCAGAGAAAGGATTTGTTCCTTTTAATCTTATCACACATGGCAAAAAATCTAGTAGCAGACCATAGCAAAACAAAAGGCCAGTTAATATATACGGAGTCCTAATTTTCGGTTGCTTGGGTTGTCTGTATTAAAGTACCCCAGGCAGAATGTGCTTTGTATCCAGATTTCTCCAAAGGGCTCATATTTAGGCACCTGCATGAAGTGACCAGGTACTCAACTATGCTGATCACCCTACAGCCGCCACTGTTCTCAATAAGGCATCCTCAGTGCAGTCCCTATCAATTGGATCTTCCAGCTGCTGAGCACTTTGGGCATCCGACCTCTTCTCTTCAGTGCCTAACTCCGAGCTCCTGAAAATGTGGCCCCAAGTATCTTAGTTATTGTCACTTTATATTTTGGATAGCAGTGCCAAAAATCCAGTGTAATAACATTCTCTCTAGGAATTGATATCACACCCATCACTGTGGTAACTGAGTGCCTCAGCTGAGAATAGTCATCCTTCTCCAGTATCTTTGTGTCCTCTTCATCTGGGTCGTATGGAGTTCAAAGTGTTCCATCATTAATTATCTAAAGTTTATTCTATGAAAAAGTCAAATTCTGCCCTGGGATGTGTGTCAGAATTTCCTATTGACACACATCTGGGGAAAGTACTTAGCCTTGGATGTTCCACGTCTACACTACCCGCTGGATCGGCGGATAGCGATCGATCTATTGGGGATTGATTTATCACATCTAGTGTAGATGCGATAAATCAATCCCTGATTGCTCTGCTGTCGACTCCGGAACTCCACCATGGCAAGAGGCGGAAGCAGAGTCGACGGAGTGGCGGCTGTCGATCCCGCACCGCGAGGGTGAAAAGTAGGTGATTCTAAGTCGATCTAAGATATGTTGACTTCAGCTACGCTATTCTCGTAGCTGAAGTTGCGTATCTTAGATCGATTCCCCCCTAGTGTAGACCAGTTATCCACTAGTGTAGACCAGTTATCCACTAGTGAACTCACAGGCATCCTGTTGTCTAAACACAGGTAACCTGCACCTGGGGGAGAAAACCCCAAAGACAATCTGTAAATTAGAGAGGGAGTGGAAAGATGCCTCATGGCATTAAGGGATTTTAGCTTCCTTGCTTCCCAAATCTAAGGCGTGCAGGCTGCTCTAACACCATCTCGTGTGCCTAGTGTGATCCTTCCATCAGCACTGCTGCCCCTCTGACGTGCATCAATAAAAGAACACTTGGGACCCTTAAACACAGAAATAAACCATTTACAAGCTTCCGTGGCTTCGGATCTGAGACCAGTGTTCACAACCAAGAAGGAAGCCTGGCTGGAGTAGACAAATCTGTTGATTCCGTAGGCTGGGAAGAGGAATTTTTTTTTAATTGACCTATGAAACAGTCAAAATGCCACACAGCAAGGATGTCTCCAAGAAGCAGCATTGTGGCTGTGAGATGGGAATTTGGGAGGGGTGGGGGGATCAAACCAAGAAGATGGGCAAGGTTACTATAAAACTTCGGTACAAACTGATACGAAGAGTTCTGCATTTTGGGCCAGCTCCTGGCCCTATTGAAGTCAATGGTAATTTTGTTGATGACCTCAGTGAGACCAGGATTTGAGGATAACCTCCCAAGCACACTGTTTTGAACACTGATACTGGACCTCCTAAAACTGGCCAGAACTGAAACCCTGGCTCCAAACACCTCTTAGCTTTAAAGAGTCGATCCAAGTCTGGATCTCACCAGCTCATCTCTCTCTCTGGGTCTGATTCTCATTTTACATAAATGAACATATACTTGATGCCCCCTTTAAGGTCCCTTTACACGTTTACAGGAGTGATGTTAGTGTAACTGAGTCTGGCCCTATGCCACTACAACTGTGGAGAAATTGAAATCCAGCTCCCAACTTTGCTGCAGGAGGGCTCATTGCAAGCACTCCATGGTGGATCTAGGTGAAGAGCGTGATGCAGATAGAATTTGGGTGATGACTGCCTTCCTCAGGAGACGAAGCTAGAACGTTGGTGACAGGCTATGCTGAAAAGCTAGATCAAGTGGGAAGGCTCTGTGCTTTTCTTTACAGATATTCTCCCCAAAGCCCAGTGAACAAGACAGTGCTTGAGCCAGCCTGTGTCAAATATTCACCCAGGGAAACTCAGACTGGAAGAGGATTGTTCCTCCGTTGTCTGCAAAGGAGAGGAAGCACACAAGGTATGGGGGTAAAATGAAAAGAAAATGAAAGTTTCCATGTGTGAAGGTCTGGGGGCCTCCCTTTAGAATTTTTGGATCTTTTTACTAAGAAAGATACTAATAGATCATGCTTGATTTACTGCCATTTCTGTGAATAACCCCTGTTACAGTCAATAGGAGTTGTGAACGTGGATCAGTAATAATACTCAGCAGTTGTGTGGTGCTTTCTATCTTCAAAAACTGTTACTGCACCCATACAAGATAGATAAGCATTATTATTCTTGTTACAGATGGTGAAACTGAGGCATAAAAGATAGCCAGTGACAGAACCAGGAGCTCCTGGCTTCCAGTCCAGTGTTCATTTCATTAGTCCCCACTTCAGTCCATGTATTAGCCTGTTTACATTCTGCTTGTGACAGATATGGCAATTCCCCATAATATCCCTGAAAGACCTCCTTGTATTATTGTGGGCCAGGATTGTATGTAACATTTCTAGTGGGGAGATGTGACAAATGTGAGACCTGGGAGTTCAAAAGACTAAATTGGGACAATAAGTGTTAAGAGAGAAATTAATGCAAATTATCGTAATTCTGATTATGCAAAACTCCAGCCTTTTGAAGCTATTCCCTGAGGTGAGGGTTATTCTCTGCCTACCTGTCACAGAAGGCCAAGATCAAAGGCCAAAGCTGTATAAAGAAATGGTTTTGGATCTGGATCTAAGCCACATGAACTTGTAACCATGGGAAAAATCCACTTGTGTTTTGAAGGACTAAAACCTAGCAGAGCCTGAGGCTGGAGTGAGAGGTGACCTGGCACACTTCTTAGCATGCCTTTTGTTTTAGCATGTTTTCTCTGTCATGCTTTTATTTAAGAATAAATGTGCTTGCTTAGAAGAAGCTATGTCATAACTTATAGTATCAGGTGATCCACTGGTCACAGCCCTTGGAAAGAAAGCCAAGCAAAAACACTGGCCTTTTAGGCAGTCTGGCTTGCTGGGGATTAAACAGAGTAAGGCAGGGAGCTGTGTGGCCTTCAAATCCAGGAGGTCAGGAGGAAGTGAGATGAGGTTCTCTGCCCAACAGAGGTGACATGTGGAAGCCTGAAGTAGTTGCCCTTTGTGGACCGCAGAGGGGGAATACAGGTGCAGTTGCTCTGAAACGGACATTGCTCCCTATGTGTTTGCTTGGAAACAATGTTTTGTGACTGTAAATACTGGAATGGAGTAGTGAATGGACTATGTGCAATTTTAATAGTTGCTGAAGTGTGTGTGTGTGTGTGTGTGTGTGCGCACACGCATGTGCAGGCATACCACGTTCTCTAAAGAATGGTTTGTTGTTTGTTTATGCCCCGTCCTGCAAAACACCACATGCAGTCAGACCCTGCACATTCATATTGATTTGCAGGCTCAGGGCCCCAGCTTGTTTAACCAGACAATATTGTACCAGTGCCTGTGGAGGAACTAACTATTTGGCAGTGTCATTTGTACTGCAAAATGAAGAAATAAATGCAAATATCCGTTTTAAAAAAAAGTCTAATATAATTATGTAAATAAGATCCAGAAATAATGTTGCAACGAGTCAAAATTCTGTGGAGATTGTCCTAAACTATGTTTTTCATGGATTCCATTATCTTTTCTGAGAGATTATGGCAGGAACACCTACACTTATTTTTAATTGTTAATAAAGAGAAAGAAACCCACCAAAAGTTCCTTCAGAACTTTGTGTCCCTGAACAATTAGCTCGTAGGCACAATTTAGCTGCCACATCACTCAGAGTAGTCCTAATTAGACCCAGATGAACACTTTCAATATTAATACTCAGATGATTTAATAAAGCTGCACAAGCAGTAAAAGTAACAATACGCTTCCATAAAGGGGTTCCAGATGTTCCTGAGGCAAATGCTAAACATCAAAATAAAAACTTCAAAAAAAAAAACAAAAACCCTGGATAAGCAAAACTTGGAACGGACTATAAACTAATTAAATGCGGGGTGGGTTTTCCAAAAAATAAATTGAAGCCATAAGGATGTGATGTGAGCCAATAAAATAATAGTTAGTCAAAGTTACTGTGAAACAACAGTTTGGAAGGGTGGTCTGAAGTCACCAATAGGTGGGTTACTTTGTGCTTTGTCTCTTCCTCCACAGTAATTTTTTGTGTCCTTGTGTATGGGAACAGGTTCATGCCTTTTGGTGTTGGTTGCTATAAATCAGGAGCTGTTCCAGATAGGATAAGAGCTGACTCTAAGCATTGGAACACAGACATGAACCACGAAAAAGTTTTGGGGTTTCTCTTACTGGAGCAGCAGAATTGATACCACTGCCAAGGGGCTTTAAAGTTTGCTTTTCAGTTGCTTTAAGGGGCCCGTGTTCCATCTGTATAGAAGACCATTCTATCAGTAGCTTTGAGAGGCCCATGTTCTACCCTGTTGCCTGTGTGCTATTGCTCACCTCAGCCCAGAGGGACCCATGTTCTACCATTTTTGCACTTACATTTGTCCCTGTGACAGGGTGCTGTTAACAGCTTCAAATTGGGCTCTCTGGAAGCCAGCACCCTGGTCACTTAGAACAGTGGTCTCCAAACTGGAGTGCGTGCACCCTAGGGGGTGTGGGAAATGATCCCGGGGTTGCGCGGCAGCAGAAGTGCTGTCGGACGGCATTCCGCCATTTTTTTCTTTGGCGGCAGCTCTGCACGTCCAGGGCTGGTGTTCCCCTCCGGCAGCCCGCCTGCAGCAGATCTTCCCGTCTTCTTCCGTTGGCGGTGAGTCTGCAGCAGGTCTTCCCGTCTTCACCCTGGGGGTGCATTAGCCAAAAAGTTTGGAGACCACTGACTTAGAACACCCAGGGCACTGGGTGTGTTTAAGATAGAAGGGAGCATTTACACTTGCTGGTTGTCTGATGAGTTAATGAGGTAATTAGCTCACCAGCTGAAGAGCCCAGGTAGGAAAGCAGGAAGTATAAAAGGCCAACCCTGGGAGCAGGAAAGGGGCTCCTCATAACTGTTACTCACAGCCTCAGACTTTGAGGTCAGAAGGGAGCATCATGATCATCTAGCCTGACCTCCTGCACATTGCAGGCTAGAGAACCTCACCCATCCACTCGTGTAATAGACTCCTAACCTCTGGCTGAGTTTCATGATTTAAAGACTTCAAGTTATAGAGAATTCACCATTTACACTAGTTTAAACCTGCAAGTGACCCATACCTTATGCTGCAGAGGAAGGCAAAAAATCTCCAAGGTCTCTGCCAATTTGACCCAGGGGAAAATTCCTTCCTGACCCCGAATATAGCAATCCGTTAGACCCTGGGCATGTGGGCAAGACCCACCAGCCAGACACATGGGAAAGAATTCTCTGTTACTATGTGGCTGTAGTTTGTACTGGAGTTTATGAAGGAGACAATCGATAAACACTCATGGTGATGGTACTTTGGTGTACCTGTGTGCTGCTTAATTCACCAACAGGTCTCATCACTCCAGGAAAAGCCTGGCTGGAAGAGGGAACCCATCACAGTCCCGTTTAAGCAGGGCCGTCCCTAGCAATTCTGGGGCCCTATGCAGTCCCCCTGCAGGGGTGTGGGGGGCCCCAGGCCTCTGAGGGGGGAGAGCAGGTGGGATGGCTCCAGGCCTCTGTGGGGAGGGGTGGGGCTGGCTTGGGGGGCAGGGGGGAACCACCCCACAGCACTCACTGGCGGCATGGCTGGGTCTGGGTCACTGCACTTCCTGCCGCTGGTGAGTCAGGCCCAGCCCTGCTGCAGAGCTTGGGGGAGTGGGGGCGGGGCAGAGCAGGGCGGGGGCCCTGGGGAAGAGCTGGAGCACCACGCAGCTGTGTAGGGCACCATGAAATTTGGTGCCCCAAATTTCCTAGTGCCCTACGCAGCTGCATACTTTGTGTATGGGTAAGGATGGCCCTACCTTTAAGATACTTGTTTTCTACACGTGATGCACCATATTCTCCCTGTTTATATGGTGACCTAAAATCGCTTTTCCAGCAGCTCTCTGCACTGATCTTGTGCACCTCAGTAGACTTAATTCAGTCCCTGAAACATCAGGCTCCCAGTGGATAATCTGAATGCACTGCGGGAGGTGCTTGTATAACACAGTGATGGTTGAAGTCACTGGGAGCACACAAGGGAGCAATCATCTTCCACAGCACATCTCCAACAGGTCCCATATCACAGTTTGGCTACATATCGTGTAATGTCTGTGCTGGGCCTTCTGCAAAGTCACAATATCATTGGCCCCAAATGATAACCAGTAAGGATGGCAAAGAATTTGTAGTATATAGCATATGTGCCAGTGAAGCAAAAGGCATCTTCCAGCTGAAACAATGACACGTGCTATGCAATTAATTTCACATGTGCCTACTTTTGAAAACTGGGCTCTCCATATGGCACTGAAGTACCAAGTGGAGCTTTATACATCCATTAGAAGGTGTCGATGAGTGTGAGCCATTTATTGATGAATAGAGACAAAATGCCCCAGAGAGTGTCCCAAAGCCACATGGTGTCCCCAAGGGCTAGATTTCATGTTTGGGTCTTTGCTTTAACTGACAGCTGTGTCAGATGACATGGCAGCAAGGCAGCTTCTCACTGAATATGCTGTGGAGGAGACTTGTGCACATTGTTTATTTCCTCATGTGTATACAGTAATTTCCACTTGGCATATTTGTTCCTAATATGCCTGTCTGAGACAATAGGCAATGAATAACTGGGATGCAAAGCTAAGGCCTCTCACGTGGGGTCAAACCACATCAGATTGGAGCCCAGTCAGACACCGATGAGGAAGACGTGCACACACGTTTAATGGCACTGGGATCATACAGAGCTGCTGCTTAATGCACAGGATTCCCTGCACCTCTCAAAAGCACGGATTGAGGCACATTTTCATGAGGTGTACGTGTGTATCTGAGCCCAGGATTAGACTTCAGAATTGGATTTCATCCTGTGACTAATGATACAGCTATATAATAACAGAGCTACTCATAAAATTATTCTGAGAATGACAACATTCTTTCCCTGTTATACAC